CATGCCCTGGTATGAACTGGGCCATGGGGGACACACACCTACACAAGGAACTATATTACAACATCTCCTACTTTTTTATTTTCTTTTTGTCAAAATTTTATATGTTCCAGTACAAAAGAACTGAATAGAAGCTCATTGTTGAACTGTGGAGATTTTAGTGCTCTCTGGTTCTTTGCTTGGAGACGTTTATTACCCATCTAGGTACCATCATCAAGGCATTGATGATATTCTGCACTGATGGTGTTATCTAATTGGATAATGAAATGTCTGCAAGCAAACCACCAAGCTGAGAGAGCATCATGGACTTCACAGAATAAAAGTCCCCTAAAGCAAATGCATGAATATTGGTTTCTTCCTTCTAAATCTCTCACCAGCCTCGATTTCTGCAGTCAAAGGAAAGGACTCCATTTTCATCTGGTATCCATTTTATTCCTGAGGAGACATCACAAGACATTTGCTAAAGATATAGCACACAGATGTTACAATATAAGTATCAGGATTTATCCTTTTTTTTTTAAAGTAGGCTTCTTTTGAGAGATAATTAATGAACTTTTTTTTACTTCTGTATGATTTTAAATCTTGCAATTACAGATAAAATCATAAAAGCCAATTTTAATTGTGATTTTACAGATGTTAACATTTTCATCCTTAATAATCACATTATTAGAATTTTGCAACAAAGGGTAAATGTGTATTAGAAAAATAAAGCCGTCAAACTCAATAGAATCGTACTGATTTTTCAGCTTCCTTTATTCAGGAAAAATGACTTTTGATTTACTCTACTTCTTAGCTAAAACCTAACTTTTGGAAAAATAAAGATAAAGTAAAACCTGTCACCTGGATAAAGCCTGAAGAAGCCTGTTGTGCTGCCAAAATATTGCCATGTGAGAGTTGGGTCTCGTTCAAAGTTCTCCACAAAAACAGCATCCAAGGCTTCCGACATGTAAATTCCATTTATAATGTCAGGGTCTGAGGGAAAAAGAGAGAACCAACTTGACATATACATACACATATACATATACATATACATATACATATACATATACATATACATATACATATACATATACANAGTCAAACTATTTTCCAAGGCACCTGAGGGTAGAACAAGAAGCAATGGGTGGAAACTAATCAAGGAGAGAAGCAACTTAGAACTAAGGCAAAATTGCCTGACAGAACAATTAATCAGTGGACAACTTGCCTCCAGAAGTTGTGAATGATCCAACACTGGGAGTTTTTAAGAAGAAGTTGGATAACCATTTGTCTGAAGTGGTGTAGGGAGTTGGACTAGAAGACCTCGAAGGTCCCTTCCAACTCTGTTATTCTATTCTGATTGGGCAGGAGGAAATAACCATTAAATTCCAAATTAAGACAGTTTACCTTATTCGTATTGTAGTATCAATATATAAATAACATAAAGCATGGAGAATGGCCAAAAATGAGCATAAAGTTCTTGCTCGAACCACTTTAGTTGCAATGAACGTATCCATTAAAGGGCAGGGAGAAGGATGCCTAAGTAAAAATTTGGACAATTGTACTCTGAAAAGCAACAGGTCTTTCTTCTGAATACAAATGCATGGGTTTGTCCAAACTTTAGGATTTTTCTGCTTCTCAGAGATAAATTTATTTTGGAAGGATTAGGGTTCAGCTCACATGACAAAGACGAAGAAAATTTATAGAGTTAATAACTGAGATAGGAGATTCACTTTTAATAGTTCTTGTCATGTCAAAGTAGAACTCAGTTTAGAGATGCCTTTTACAACATGCATGATTCTTCTGGATCAGAATATTGGTGGACTACTAAATCTCTTGAGGTTTTCAAAAAAAATTAAAGAATGGAGTGGATATGAGTCTTTATTCAGCTGCATAGAAAAGCCAAACAGTGGCTGAAAAACAATCATGAAAATTGTTTTATGGAAATTCACTGAGCTGGCCTCCAAGAACTCCCAGATATCCAACAATTGTTGCCAGATTAATATTTTTAGTAAGACGCAAAGGAAATTATTCAACACTTAACTGGAAAGTGATTATAATAGCTACATATTTAAATACAAACATGATTAAGTCCAATTTGTTAGTCCTAGCCATTATTTTTGAGAGCTTAATCCCTAGATTAATAGCCCCAAATTTGGGAGATTTAATTCTGACAGTTTAGACTAGTATTGGTGAAACTTTTCGGCACTGAGTACCGAACAGGAACATGGAAACCAGAAGAGCATCTGCACCGGGCAGCTGCTCTTCCAGTTTCTGGCGCTTCCTTGTGCATGAAGACCAGCTGGCAGGTGTTCTGAAACCTGGAGGGGAACAGGCAATGGCTCACATGCCCAGAGAGATGGCTCTGCATGCCAGTTCTGGCATGCGGGCCTTGAGTTTGACACCCTTAGTTTAGGGTATCCCTAAAATGGGAATGAAAAAATGGAAAGGGTAATTGTGGTAATGCTTTTTTTTNTGTTACCATGGCAACTCCACTGTGCTGCACAGTAGAAGCCATTTTAAGGTGCAACAGGCTGTATCTTAACAGAACACACCACCCTGAGAAGTTTTGGGGGTGTCTTACCCCCCTGCAATATTGTTTCCAGAGAGTAAGTCAACCGTGCACCAAGTTTGGTTGAAATTGCTCAAGGTGTTCCAGAGTTACGCTGGAACATACATACACACACACACACCTCTGTTTTTATATATATAGAAAGAGATAGAAGCATCCATCCATGACCACAAGATGTAGTAAAAAAAAGTCAAGATGGAATGAGTAGTTTATTTTTTGAATATATCACATTTGATAATAAAAGGGCTGATTGTCCAACCATTTGTAACATAGAGGTCAGCATACAGGTTTTTACAAAAAGTAGACCTAATTATTTGGAGGAACAATAGAGATTACCAAGCAAAGCTTCTGAATGAATTAATTGAGCATCTAATAAAGATTATGTTTTGTTTGGGTTATATCACATCATTTTTCCAGGAACATCCAACAACCAGGGATGGGTTTCAAAATTTTTAGCAAGGAGTTCTCTGGCCGGTTGCTTGGTGGTCATGGCCATGGTCAGTGTGGCTGAATTTGCCTCCTACATCATGGCAGGGGATGTTTTTGCCCTCCTCGGGCTTTGGAGGCTATTTTTGAGCCTCCGGGAGGGCAAAAATGGCCTCTCAAGGCTCCTGAGGTCCTCCAGAAGACAGAAATGGACCATTTCCAGCCTTCCTGAATTTCTGGTAGGCCCGTTTTTCACCCTACCCAAGCCTCCACACGCATCCAAAATGAGCCACGTGGGGACTCCTGGGAGGGAAGCAGCAGGTGGGTGGGGACAGCTAGGAGTGGGATTTGGGGGTTCTCCAAACTGCACAGAATCTTAGCTAGAGGTTCTCCCGAACCCCTGCAAACCCCCAGCAGCCCATCCCTGCCAACAACCATCTGGAGATAAATTGGAGTGAGATTGGACAACTGATCCAAGTCATCCAATTAATTTCCATAGCCGATCATAGATTTGAACCTTGGTTTTCCCAGATCACCATGTTAAACACATAACATTCTACACTAACCTACCAGTAGTCATTCTAAAGGAAAAGAGAGCTTTGAGGAAGGATATACTTACTGCAATAATATTGACAAAATCATTTTCTCCCAGTGTGTCCAATATAGTGACAACAGTATGCTTAGCAATGGTGAGTCGCAAACCCTTCATGCTTCCACTGATGTCCACCACAATCACAATATCTTTGGGTGATGTAGCTGCTTGGATATACCTTAGGATAGATTTAGGATAGGAAAAGGAAGCCAGAGATATAAAGTAAACATATTAACTGAGATACAGTGGAGAATTTGGACCAATCACAGCACTCATTATCCTAGGCCATCGGTGTCACACACACCGTGTCACACAAATGGCCCCTAGGCCGCCAGTTTGATACCCCTGTCCTAAGCTGAAAATAATGAATATTCAGGAGCAATAGAAAGTTTCTCCTCCTTCTTATTCTTCTTTCTTAGTAATATACTGTAGGTACAGTGAATCTTTGAGTTAAGAGACTGAATTTCAAAATGAAATTCAATGGTGAAAAAAGTAAGGTTCTACATTTAGGCAAGGAAAAAAAATGCACAGGTACAGTATAGGTGGTACCTTG